TTTAATGCTCTGTTGTAATAGAAAGTAGCTTTTAAATGGGATGCTCAAGACTATAAAAGACAAAATTAAATAAAACTATTTTTTACATATAGTGGTCTACAAATTGAAACAAATTCAGTAAGTGTAGCCATTATTGTTTTCATTTGGTATTATACTTGAGTAAAAACTGAAACCCTGCATCAGTCCTATAATGAAAATGGTATGATGTGCAGAGATATTAAAAAGTGATTGAGTTACTCACTGTGCCTGTAAAGACAGGAATTGTGGAAATAATACAATATTACTGCATCTTGTGTCATCCAAGGGACCCAAAGCCCTCACATAAGTCTTTACCTTTCATTTGTCCTTCCAAGCTCAGCACTGCCGTGTATCTAAGAAATAAAGAAAGAATGACTACTGAAGAAAATCAATTTATGAAAAAAGGCTTATTTGCAATTACTGTTTGGGGCATGGCGCCCAGGGTTCTTTACTGGAATCTTCCATAATATCGTGTTCAACTTTGTCTTTTAACAAATTCAGGCAGCTACTTGTTATGGAAACAGTAAGCCTGAAAAACAAAATAGTTCTAGAATGAAAGATTAGGAGTTGAGTAAAAATCTTCTGTTGAGTTCTTTGTGATCCTAGGGAAGTTGATTTCAACCTCAGTTTATGCACCTGTGAAATGGGTTTTTACTGTGAAACTCACTAGGATGGGGATTTATTCCTGCTTGTGAAGTGGTTTGATAGTCTCTGCCATATAATACATGCCAGGTGGCAGGGTGCTGTGCTCTGGCTGGAAAGCAGAATAAAGATACTTAGTACAGATCTCAGCAAAATTTACAACTTAAGAAATTATCTTCTTATGCTGAAAATATTTCCTCCCTCCCTCCCTCCCAGACAACTGAATACAACACAAAAAATGTTTATGTCTTAGTATTCTGTCAGGTATTATTGAACTATAAAAAAAATATTCTTGTCATCTCACTTCTTAACATATTATGAAAGAAAAATGACTAAAACTTGTGCAGACTGTCAAGTTCCTGCCAAACTGAAACTAATGAATCACTCTGGCACTGGTAATTAGCCAAAACTCGATGATATGAAGCGTATAAATAGTGCTAGGGACTATGTTGCCAAATATTTATACCCCTGAAAGTAGTTACTGTTTTATTCCCATGAAGTTTTTAATTAAATTCTATCCAGCAGAGTAGTATGACACCCCTGGTTTTATTTCAATTCTTACTTTAACAACCTAGATATAAATTGAATGTGATTCATGCCTGCTAGTTATTGATTTTGATATACATGCTAGACAGAATGAGCTTGGTGCCTGAGAAATAACTGACACCAAAAGTGGGATGGGGCTGTGGTGGGGATTGAATAAAAAGAATTAGAAAAAAATGTTTAGTTCTAGTGAGAGATCTTGGCCCAGTGGGGTCTCAAGTATTGCAGTTCAGGTACTCTGATCTCAACTTTTTCCTCTTCTACCACTTTTCTTTATTTTCTTTTTAAACTGGGAATGAGCCTGTAGGTAAACTTAGTCTCGTTAACTAAAGGTAAACTCCTTCCCTCTTCTGCTAGAGGATCCTGTATTCATGAGAAGGGTAATTTTATTTTTGCCACTGCCATCTAGGCTAGTAAGGCACTATAGTGACTGAAATAAAATGTAGCAATAGCTAATATACCATGCAAGTCATCCAGGTAAGAAACTCTCTAACATATGTCTTACTGTGTACCCCTCACTGAGTATGTGAAAAAATGGGAAACATTTAAAAGATGTTTATAACTTGATATACATTTCTTATGTAAATGTTGTCAGTATCAAAATGTCTACATTAGATTAGCTTAAAAAAAAAAGGATTGATTGAGATTCATGCACAGTATATGTCCATGTTAGAGAAACATTTATTTTGTTAAGAGACAATTTGCATTCATGAGAACTGAAAATTGAGAAGGAATAAGATTTGTTTCTCTGCTGACTTACTAATTAGTGTTGGTTAAGCTCTCCCAAATGGTAGGATATGTGAGTATTTAAAATGTTGATGCAGACAAATTTTGAGACAAATTACAATTTGGTATTCATCCCTGTATGTAGCTTCAGACTTCTCTGTCATATCCCAATGACATGTAGAATTTCTGGATTCTCAAATGCTAAATTTTAAGTTTTATCAGAGGACCAGTAACAAAATCCATTTGTCTGCAGGAAAGGAGATTTTACAAGAAGCAGTTAATGACAAATAGCACCTAGGTTTGGGTATTTTGTTTTTTCTTTTAATGAGCAGGTAAAGAACATAGGGACTTAAGGGAATCGAATTACTTTTGGAAGTGCTCTGTAGAATACTTGTGGCCACTGATCCGACTTCTTTACTTGGTGCTTTAAGAAGGCTGAAACGATAAAAAGTATGTGCTTTGGTGTTTTTCAGTATTTTTACAGTGAAATTTCTGGAGCCACTGAAATGCCAGTTTGCAGTAGTCTTTCCCACAGAGAATGGCTTTTGTTGGATCTCGTGCCTTCAACAAAAATTGCAGGGGAACTGAATACTTAATACCAACATCCTTTGTACAAGTTGATAAGTAAACATTGTGTTTGCATATGGCTAGATTTTTTTTTCAAAAACAATTTCAACAGATGCCTTAATTCCGTTCTGTTGTAAAAATTCCTTTCTCTCATTTGAGTGTTCTTGTTAGTGCAAATTCTTTCTGGCTAAGCAACACACAGAGAAAAATCTTTGCTGTTTTCATTTTCAAACAATATTTTCTTACATATAAAACCAAAAGGCCATATTTTTTCTTTCATCTGGTAGTACAGTACATTTAAAGAAAAGAAATATAAAAATCAGGTGGGTTTGTAGTGAAGGCCAAGAAATTTAGCTACACAATTGAATGTTTCTCAGGGAAAGGGCTGTTTAGAACAACTCTCTGTGAGAAGCACATAAAGCTGATTGCGCTACTATTAAGTTCAGAACAGATTTGCACAAAATAAAGGAAGTAAAAAGTGAAATTCAATAAACCAGGAAGATAGGGTATGTGGAAATGGGGTAGTAGCATCATACAAGCAATCTTGCTTCCTGCTGTGGATGTTTTGATTGAAACATGCTCATGTAGTGGAATGAGACTCTAGAGTCCCCTTTAAATATTTGCAATATTTTAATTCTGATTTGCAATAAATAATATGACTAATCCATGCTCCCTCTCATTGCTTTGTGATTATCACTTGCACCGCACATCTTGGCTGCTTTTAGCACTTACAAGGCTCTGATAATATAGCTAAATGTTTCTGACTCCATCTGCTACAAAGAGAAGTGACACAGAAGTGCTCCCCAGCCATTTTATTGCAATTTAATGTAAATCTGTTATAATGCAGATGATGAAAAGTGCAGTGGCTTCCATGAATTCTGAGAGCTGCGATTGGGTTGTGGCTGCTGCGCTGCCCTCTGAAGATTTGCTGGGTTTAATTTTACATTGCACAGCCATTAGCTGGCTGAGGTTCCTCACTGAATCACACTGCCACAATACTTCTTCATCCTCCTCTTCCTTTCTCCTCACAGTGACCTCCTGCACCCAAACCTTCCAGCCCAGTCTCTCATTGCTTTTATCTTATAAGTTGTAACCTCCCAGTACATCAGAACGCAGAGCCAGGCAATTGACCCCTGCAATGGATTATTTTGTTAACTCCTTTTTTTTTGTGGGAATATCATAACAAGCCTTCCCATTTGCTGCAGGCTCATTGTGATTCTCACTGTTGTGCAAGGACAGATTAATCTTATCTGGTTGCAGGGAGAGCTTGCCTTTACCATGGCACCACGTGTGATCTTATTGCCATCTTGTACAATAAGTGATGTTAAATGTGTTCTGTGCTGGTTAGTTGGGAATTAGCTGGTAGGTGGGAATTGGGATGATCAGATTCTGTCATTCAGCATTAAGTGTTATTATACACTTATGCATAGGCCCTTAGGCAAATGGGTTTTTTTCCCCCCTGTATTTTCTCTAAATGTTACTGTTTACAATGATAGAGTTACCTTCAGTAGAGTAATTAAACTGTGGCAAAGTAGGTAAACCTAGAATGCAATTAAAGTACAGTAAAAACATGTGTAAATGATAATTGTTTCATTCCCACAGGGGAAATGTGAAAATAATCTTTTCAATAGAATATCATATCTAGAATCTTTACACATGCCAACTGACATGATTGTCCTTAAGTAATTTGTCTAGAAGTAATTGAATGCAGTATTAAAAAATAGCTAAAAATAAGGAGAGCATCCTACTTTCTCACAGGTGTTTCACCAGCAGACTGGGGAGTTACCCAGGGGCCAAGCTGTGATCTTTCTGTGATTACATTCTCCAGTCCAGCTGACTGCATGGGCTAGAGGTGAAAGGGGAGGACTAATTACAGGCTTCAGATTGGTTGAATTATTAACAATGGAGATCGTCTTGTCCGAAATAATAACCTTACTTGGTAAATTCATAAACCTGGAATAAGGCAGAATGTGGGGCTGACTTCACCAACAATTTATTCTTAAGTATTTAAAGTTATAGTGTGAATTCTGTTGTATGGAATGATCTGTGGGGATGGTAATCTTTCCATTAAACTTTGTGTGGTGTCACTGCAGATGGCATTTTCCTTTTGTGTGTTGTCATCACTGGAAGATGGATGATGTTGAGTGAAGACTTTGGTGTGGATGTTTACATAAAATCTTTATTCCAAATGCGAATAAAATTTAAAGTTGATAGATGTTTTTTGAACCTTAAAAAAGCCTTTTTTTTTTCTCAGCAAAACTGACTCATTTGCAACCCGTTCTAAAAGAAACTCTGCAAACCTCTGAAATGCAAATTTATTGAAATAAAACAATCCAGTCACCTGTCTCCTTGTGCTCCTGCAGCAAGGTGACTACCAGAGGAATAATTTCACGTAAAGCTTTCTCAAGTGTTTTTCCTTCATCCTCCAATTGAAGATATGTATTTTTTTATTAAAACTGACTCTCAATTTTAATAATTTATTTCCTTTCTTCTTTTTATTACAGAGAAAGTCCATTGTTGCCGTGAGTTTCATTGCAGCATTCCTCTGTCTGATCATCGTTCGTCTCACAAATGAAGTAACTTTCCCTTTGATCCTAAACTGCTTTGGACAAACCAGAGTCAAGTGGATCCCATTTTCTAATGGCCAAAGGCAGCCTCTGAAAACTCATTATGGATATATAAATGTAAAAACACAAGAGGTAAGACCTGGTTCTAACAGACTGGCCAAATGGACCAGTAGATTTCTTTTTCTCTGATCCCACCCAATGCTTTTTTACAACCTCCCCAGTGTAAAAACTGAACAAGGGTGTTTCTGAACAAAGTGGCTATTTTAGAATCTCCTGCCACTTTAAATGACCTTTAAAATTTTTAAAATTTCTGTCATGTCTGCAGTGGAGAGAGCAGTGAACTGACCTCAATATCACCCTTTATTGAGTGAAACCTTGTTTATACAAACAAGAAAATCTTTCAGATTAATTTCAATCCTTCAATCCCTCTAATGCAAAAGGGAATTTTCTTTTGTTTGTTGTAATAAGGTCCTAAAAATGTTTCGTTTTGCCTGGGCTTCCCAAAGAAGAAATAGCTCATTTTTGTTTGTATGGGCATGAAAGAGGAAAAGGGAGTGATATGTGAAATGAGAATATGTGAGTCAAGTGAATATATAAAGCTAGAGGTTAGCTGGATTTTTCTGGAAGTATTGCATTAATACTTGATAGCTATTTCAAAACTAGGTATGTATTTGCATTCTGTACTTTAAAACTCACTGATGTGTATCTGCTTAGCAAAATACTTGCTGTGTGATAAAAACACTTGTCTGATGAAATTAGGTTTTACAGGGACCCGTGCTTTAAAGTGTCTTAGTTGTCAAAATTTCTAGTGCCACTGTTGGGTTTTGATGGTGGTGGTGCATTTTCTTCAGACTTTTCCACTCTCTTTGCAATATTTGTAAAATGGAATCTTTCAAAATAAGGCAACATAAAAATTGAACTCTTTCTATAATTTATGATCAGTTCTGGTACTGTCAGTCATGAGAAGTGCTATCAGACTTCCATTAACTGCTAGGGTTTTTTTTCCTATAAAATTACAGTTATTAATGAGTGAAATTCATTCACATAACAGCTTTATAGAGAATGAAAATACTTCACCACTTCAATCTATTTAGTCCTGTAAGTGTATTGGACTAGTTATTTATTATCCTACCTTTAGTGGGTTAAATGTGGAACTCAGAACGAGAGAGATGCAGTTTTTAGGAGGAAGCTCCTTTTAAACATATGTAGCTTTTAATCATTGCTCCTGTAAGATGCAGCACTATTTTGGAGGCCGAAGTACATTATCTATAAAGCAGGAAAAGGACAAGCACCTGAAAGGAGAACTGTTGAGATGTGAATGGTGGTCCCAGTGAAAGGAATGGGAGGTGCTGTTGAGCTCAGAGGGGTTAAGGCTTCACCCAGCATCTTCCTCCCTCAGGAATGGGAGGGCAGCCTGTTCTCCTTGTCCCTGAGTTGCTGCCAAAGTGGCAGGCGTGGAATCTGAATGAGGCAGAGCTGCCATGGTCACTGGATCACTATCAGTCTGAACTGATAACTGGGGAGGAGAGGAGCGTGCTAATCCATTTTTATTCACCATTGACTTCATCAGAGGTTAGAAGTAGTTTGTGGGGCCTTTAATTCATTCTTAAATTTGATAACACACTTGGAAGTTCTAACAGTAAATGGAAATGAATGTGCTGAAAGGTGGTGACCAGTATCAATTTGTAACACATTTGTCTCAATTTGGCTTGGGTCATGAAGGACTCCTTAAACTTAGTAATTTTAGTTGTTTTCCCTGTTGTATTTGCAGATTGCATTAATATTTGCTAATTAAAATGATAATGAAGAACCTGAACATGGTTTGCTTATTGTAAATGCACTCTTGACTTAATTATTCCCTGTGCGAGGGAATTTTTGTTGTGATGCTTATGTGAAAAGCTTTCACATAGCTCATATTCTTAACTCACACTCACAGCTTTCTCAGACTATGATTTTTAGAACACATATTTTGTCAAATAAGCATTTGTATACTATTAATATAGCCAGAAAAATCTCAATTATTAGTTTCTTTATTGTCAAATACATTGAATTTCTGCTAATTTCATAAAATTTAGATATTTTCTATTTTTTTTTGTGCTGCTGTGGTATGTAAAATAAGCAGAAAAGTTTACTCTATGAGACAGACTAATGCCCCAAACAGATGTGGCCAGATTTTTTTGCAAAATGGGACGCATGGTGTCTCGTCAAGGACCAAATGATGTAAGGAAACAGCACCACAATGAATTATCAGAAAGTAAAGTGATGGAAGGGAAGATAGGAAGGAAGGCTTTCAGAGATGTGAATTTTGGCTTTTTCTCTTCTCTTCTATTGAGGGAATATTTTTGCAGAATTCTTTGAATGAATTCTTTGTTGAATGTGCTCATATTCTCCTAGAGTGTCCTTTGAATTCTGTCACCCACTGGTGTCTCCTGCTGTCTGATAGCACTCCCTCCTGTTCCTCAGCCACTTGTAACATCCTTCTTCTTTTCTTCACATTTGTTCTCTGTTCTCCTTTACCTGTTCCTCTCAGGCTGCACTCCAGGGTCTGGCTGCATGTCAACTCCTTAGTGTACTTAAAAGTGCAAGGTCAACAAACCAGAGGGATTAGGATAATTTGCCACCAACCCAATCAGTCATCTGAAGTGACAGAAAGCTAGAAAATCTAGATTTGAGCTACTTCTCTGCTTTTCCTGTCTCTCTATTGCTTACTTGCTTTCTGAAGAAAAAGGCAAACCAAACTAAAAAAGGCCCAACTCCCCAATCTTTTCCATAGCAATAAAAGTTTAAGTTAGGAGGAGCTTGTTTTTTGGGGGGGTAGGACTGACTGAGATGAGACTTGAAAAATCTTATGAGATGATGGAAAAGCAATAACGTGGTTAAAATGGTGGTGTTTAATAATTTGTATTAAAAAAGATCAGGAAATATGATGATGTGAATGTTAGTGTTTATCTCAAGTAAAAAACAATGATGTGGCTGTTATTAGGTATGATCAGAGGAATGCTGTAAAGACATTTTTCAAGGGTATTGTGTATTTGACTTGACACTGTAGAATTGTGGGATTTTTATTATTAAAAAGTCTGAAAAAAAAGATTAAAACTAGATGTATTGGAGTATTTAATATAAAATGCAAAGAGAGACATAACTTAATCCACAATTAAAGCTGTACATAATACAGGGTTGTTGCTATGGTTTCCTTGATTTGTAGCCATAGCAACAGCTTTGGGAAAACTGTCTTTATGTACAGTAAATATAGTAGATTTGAAATACAAATAGATGTGAAGTGTTGTATGTACTGGGCCACGCTATGTCTAGACACATTTTAGTTTCACTTTGGAGATATTCCTGAAACTGGGGATTCTTCACCTGGAAAATCTCCATCCAGAGCCCACCCTCACTCCCCTCAGTAGGAGAAGATCTTGTGGTAGCCTTCCATGATGAGATCTCTCTTCCCTTTTCAATATCCACATCCGAGATGACTCCTTGAGATTTGTGGGAAGCTCTGCTGCTGTTTTGCAATATTGCTGTCTCACTCAATACATGAATTTTGACCTTTCAGTGAGAAGGAGGTGTATGAACAAAATGACCTTTCTTTCCCTTATTTCCTCCACTTTGTGCCTGCCTATGGATTTTTGGTGAGGGGTCACATAAAATCTGTCTTTAGGAAATGTCAGGCCTATCATGTGTTTTATCCTATTCCTGGTGATTTTTTTTAATGGAAAATATTAATTTGATACAACTCCATGGTGGTTACCCAATTGAAACCTACTGGAATAAACTTCCCCCCACCCACATCAAGCTGATGTAATGACTCTTTTTTGTATATCAAAAATGGGGAAGCAGATAGAAAGAAGCAGGTAGAGAAAATACAACCTTCCTCCTTCTTTCATACCACTCCTACTCTACAAAGAGTTCTGGCAAAATTAATGAACATCATGTATTTAAATTGCAGCATTATGACATCAATTTAAAATCCATTAGCAGTTTGAAACTTTATGCTAGGCAAGTCTAATGGTGTTCTTGGATATTTGATTGTGCTTCCTGAAAGGTGAATATTGAATAGGTTTTTACTCTACCGTCAGTGTTAAAATAATATAGCATTTTCCTACGTACGTAAAATCTGAAATATAGCTGCAATAACACTTGAAGCATAATTATAAAAGTATATTCAGGTACTGAACAATGATTAAAACTGTTCTTGGAAAAGGGTAAGTTCTGAGATGACCTAAAATCCCTACATTAAACTGCAGCTGTGAGATCTAATGGCTTCCTCTGAAATGAATTCTGAGGGAGCAAAGAGCCTTTGTGTCGTGAGCACTGAAGGATCCTGCATTACAGGGATGAGCCCCAGATAAAAGGAATGTGCATTGCAGCACTTAAGACTTCTTAAAAATCCTGTCATAACTGCAAAACTCATCAGTACTGTATTGATATTGAAGAAATATATTTGGATCATATTATCCCATCCCACTTTGTCCCTCACCTGAACAGGACTGGGCACAGGCATTAATTGCTCACCACTTGTGGCACACACAGCTATGAACATGTGGGACTGGATTGCCTAAATCTGCTTCCTTTCTTTCCCCCCCTTTTTGCCAGAAGTTCTGTAGTAGAACTCGGATTAAGTGAATGCAGGTTTCCACAAATGAAATACCCTAGTTATGAATATTAACAGGAGCCTACAGACCTTTGCATTGTCCTTTTTATTATTCTTTTCAAAACACAATAAATTAAGTGCTCTTAAAAATTACCTGAAATGTAGAGAAAAATTAACATAACCTGCAGAAATATGGGCTGTGATGTGGTCTCTGGCTGTAAGATAAGGCACATACAATTTCAACAATAGCAAAACCATAGTTGTCAACATGTTATAAGTAATCATTAGATGGACCCACACCAACCATGAGACACCACCTTTCTTACAAAACTTGAAAAACTAAATTAAAATATCATAAGGAAAGCAAAGAATGGGAGTGATGTTTTATTATTAGTTCCTCTCCTGATACGGGAAGGAAGAAACATTTTTCAAAAAGACTGAAATTTTGTAAGAAATAATATAAAAATGTAAAGCTAGCAACCAACCTGGGAAGGTTTGTTTTGCCTCTGTTAGTAATGGAGGAAAATGACACTATGAA